GAGTGGAGTGTTTTATGATCATTCCTCCTCGTTCCACCTCACCCTCCATCTCTAAGTATTTTTCCATCTATGTTAACATAGAGCAAAGCACCCCACAAACACAGATTTAAGATTTTGGTGTCACGGAGCTAAACCCATGGTACTACCAAGCTAACTACCCACACCCACAGACACACACACACACACACGCACACATGTGCACAGTGGGTGAGTAAATTTTTTAGATGGAGGTGGGGGAATTGGGTCCAATTAAAAACTATTAGACTAGAAATTCAGAAGAGCACATCAGGAGGAACTTGTAAAAGAAATCTTCATGGATGATATCAATACCATAGAAAGGTAAGAACAAACAGTTGTTAATAACTTCAAGAGAAGCTTTAAATCCACACTAGAAAGTAACTTGACGCTGGGAGACTCTGTACCTGTGAATGCCATATAGTATGGTTCTATGTGGGATGGGGCATGCTTCCCACAACATCACTGGCACCTGGAAGTGGTCAGAAATGCAGATTCTCAGGCCCTGCCCCAGACCTATTGACTCAGGAGCTCTGGGAGGACGGCCCAGCCCTCTGAGTTTTAACAAACCCTCCAGGGGGTTCTACTGTACACTCACATTTAGGAATCGCTGACCTAGAGGGCCCAAGATGAAGATGAAGGCATAAGGAGCAGAGTTGATGCAGCAGAATGAGGACTCAAATATGGCAATGATGAACCCGCACACCAAACTAAAGCTGCAATCAAAATACCAAATGTGGACAGAGTGCAAACACTACTTTTAGACCCTGGAAATGGAAGGAGGAACTCTAAATGGTGTGAATTGGGGCAAGGATAGAGGGAAAGGCAGCACTCTGAAAACCACAAGTAGGGAGATAATTCAAGGACATTTTCCTGACTAAACTATAATCTTGGCCTGAGTTGTCAAGGGCTCTTAGGGTTTCCTTCAAGAGCAATCCTCAGCACCTGGGTGGCTCCATCCTGCTTGTGTGCTCTCTCTGTGTCAAATAAAGTCTTAAAAAAAAAAGCAATCCTCAAAGAAAGGGACCCAAGTGACATTCACCAAGTGGTTTTTGTTTGGTTACTTACTTTATTTTTTAACTTATTCTGATGCAACCTCAAACTTAGAGTAAAACTGCAAAAACAGAAAAGACCTCCGAATAGCCTTTACCCAGATTCACCAACTATTTACATTTTGCCCCAGTGCTTTATCATCCCCCATCTCTAACCAAATATATTTATTACACATGTGCTTTTTCCTCTAAAGCATTTGAAAGTAAGTTGGAGCCATTATGCCCCTTTATGCCTAAATACTCAGTATATATTTCCTAAGAATATGTTCTCTAACATACCTTCCTAAAACACAACACTCTCACATAACCACAGAACAATTATAAAAAATCAGGAAATTTAACCTTGACACAATATTATCATCTAATACTCAGGCTGTATTCAAATTCTGTCCGTTATCCCAATAATGGCCTTGTTCACCATTTTCTCCCTAATTCTGGATCTAATCCAGGGCCATATTTGGCATTTCATTGCCATGTCTCTTTAGCCTCTTTCAGTCTGGAATATTTCCTCTGCCTTTCCTTTTCTTTCTTTCTTCTTTCTTTCTTTCTTTCTTTCTTTCTTTCTTTCTTTCTTTCTTTCTTTCTTTCTCTTTCTTTTTCTTTCTTTCTTTCTTTCTCTTTCTTTTTCTTTCTTTCTTTCTTTTCTTTCTTTCTTTCTTTCTTTCTTTCTTTCTTTCTTTCTTTCTTTCTTTCTTTCTTTCTCTTTCTTTCTTTTTCTTTCTTTCTTTCTGTCTCTTTCTCTCTCTCTCTCTCTCTCTTTCTTTCTGAGAGAGAAGCTGTGTGCCCATGAGTGGGGGAAGGGAGGGGCAGAGGGAGAGGTAGCGAGAAAATCCCAAGCAGGCTCCACACCCAGTGTGCAGCCCGACATGGGGCTTAATCCTGCAACCCATGCCGAAATCAAGAGTCAGACACTTGGTGATTCTGGCAGTCCTTCTTGGACATCCAAGCTGGACAGTGTGGCAATCCAGGGACTGCTCTCTAGAGGAAAAGATGGTCAAGACCTGGCAGCGGAGGTCTGGGCCCTAGTCCCCAAAGCTAGGGTTTCTAGACAGAGACAGGCCAACCCACAGGGAGCAGGTGGGAAGGAAGGAGAAAGCTGCCATTTGGTGGCCCATGGCCAGTCAAAGCTGACCCCAGATCCTGCCCAACCCAAAGAGGCTCAGATTGCTGGAAAGCACAGATACTATTTGGGTAAATCAAACAAGAGTGGCTTATTTGAGGGATACAGAAGGAAACCGGCCCCACTTAGAACACCCAGCTTAAGATCATTAAGACATGACATTTTCTAGGATGGATGGGGATTCATGTTCCAGAAGCCAGAATCCAGAATCTGTCCCCCTCAGACCTAGCACCAAGGTCTAATCTGGGTAGGTGACTGAGCTCACCTCATCCACTTGGGATTTGGACTGTTTACCGTACTTGCAGGTAGCTCAATCATCAGACTTTCAGAACAGAACTGTCTGCTCCTGGTACATTACAAAACTCAGACATGAGAGAGAACTCCACTAGGTGTCATTCCCAAAAGCCATTAGACCAGCTTATCCTGCAGATCTACTGAGCACCTATCTGCAGAAATGCCACAAAAATGAAATGAATGTACATGATGCGGCAGGTCCCAGGACATTGCTTTTAGCCAGGAAGTTTCATACTGAGGAAGATCATGGGCCCTAAGTCTAGCTCAAATCTTTCAGATTCTAATTAAAAGAAGAGGGACATTTTTAACACAGTTGTACAGGTCAGAGAAAACTTGAATCGTTCTAGCTCTGGCTCTTACCTTCTTTTGGTGACATTCGTCTGATAAAAGGTATCACTTTGGCATGCACTTTGTCACACTCAGTCTGCTGGGAGTGACTGGGGCGGGCGAGGAGGTGGGGGGCGGGCGAGGAGGTGGGGGAGCGGGCTGTCTCCCAAAAGGGTGTCCAGAATCCTCCCAGATGACCTTGTTGCAAAACTTCTTGCCTTCAGTTTTTCCCCAAGTTGCCTTCACTTGCTCAGAGAAAGGCAAAAATTCCTAATTCCAGAATCTCCTGCATTTCTCACATTCCTGTAGCAGGCAACATATTACAGCCAAAGCACCGAACACTCGCCACTCAGCAGGATTTATCCCTCTCCTGCCCTAGGCTCAACCAAGATTTCTGAGTTCCTGTGGCAGGGTACTTTAAAATTCTCCCATCCCCTACCTTTCTATTATGCAGTATGTCATATATTTAAAACAGTGTAACATATAGGCACAACTAATATTCTGCCAGTCCTCATCACTGTGGCCTTTCATCTGTGGCCAGTGGTCACCCCTCCCCCAGTCCCAAGTATTTCCAGCAGCTATTCTGACTGGTCAGCATCTGGCTGGCACTGCTTGTTAAATATGAGGGAGAGCACAAGCAGGGGGGTGGGGGGGAGACAGAGAGGGAGAAGCAGACTCCCCGCTGAGCAGGGAGCCTGAGGCGGGTCTTGATCCCAGGACCCCGGGATCCTGACCTGAGCCAAAGGCAGATGCTTAACCAACTGAGCCACCCAGGCACCCCTCAAAAGCATTTTTAACAGGTAAAACATCTGCACCACTAAAGATTCAGAAAGTATGAAAAGACAAAAAAAAAAAATTATGAAAGGGCATTCAGTAAAAAGTCTCTCCCAGTGCATCTCTCAGCTGCCTCATCTCCAGCGTTAATAGTCTCTTGCATCCTTTCAGAGATTTAATGTACAGACAAAATATTGTGGATAGGTACCATTTCTTCTTTTTTTATGGATGGTAGCATATAAAACATATGGTTCTATTCCTTTTCTTCCTAACCTAACAGTGTATCTTGGAGATCTTTCCAGTTCGGTGCACAAAGAGCTTTCTTCATCTACTGTAAGGAGCTGGGTGGTACTTCTTCGTAGGGTATCTGTATTGTAATTTACTAAATTAGTCTCCTGCTGACCACATACAAGGTAATTTATAGGTACTGGCTATTATAACCAATAACTTTGTACATACTCACTCCATAAATATACCAGTGTTATCTGTAAGGTAAATTCTTAGAAGTGAAATTGCTGGGCTAAAGGGCATGTGCATAATAAGCATCATCCTCGGAACACTCTTTCTTGAACAGCTATTGTACAAGGCTCAGAGAACCCAGTGTTGGGCAAGACAGATGTGCCCCCCGCTGCCACCGCTCAAAGTGCAAATGATGAGATACAGCCCTTACATCATCTCAATGTCTTCGGTACAACCAGGAGAGTGGCTGGCCACACAGGGAGATATGGGACCTGGCTGACAGGCGGGGAGGGGAGGGAAGGCTTTCCTGAGAAAGTCATGTTCACGTTAGGAAGGATGGCAGGAGATGGGCCGGGGAGAGCAGTGGGCATGGTGAGTGGCCGGGCGGGGGGGGGACCAAAGGCCAGAGTGGCCGGGGGAAGAGTAGCTGGGGGGTTTGGGGGCAGTCTAGCAGAGCATTGAAGACTTCTTGAGGATTTTAGTTTTTATTCTAAGAGCAGTGGGCAACCAGGAAGGAGTGAAGTCATCCAATGCGCATTTCTGAAGATGACTGGCTGCATTACAGAAATGGATTAAAGGCTTTCAGGGAGAACAGGCAGGGAGACCAATTCAAAGGTTATTGCTGCTTTCAGGCCGGAGAGTGCAGAGGCCAGGCTGGGTGAGGCTAAGGAGACAGAGACGGTGAGAGAGTAATGGGGGGTGAAGGGAAGGGAGAGGGGTTTCCACGGATGACTCCCCAGTCCCTAGCCATGCTGGTTGGTGAGCACTTAAGACAAGGCTCCTGGAAGGCTTCTAAATGATGAGACCCTGAACATTTTCCACATGCTTAGAATCTGGGGTGTATCCTATGGGGCCCCTCGGAAAGCCAGACCCCAGCTACAGAGGCACCCCGGAGAACACCTCTGGACAAGCTGGAATGTGTTCATCTCTCCTGTCCCGTTTTACCTGCACCCCTGCAGGCATCACGTGCCCTCCTCCCACGTCGGTCGAACATGCGGACATCCAGGTCAAGAGTTACAAGGTGAGCTCCAGGGAGCGGTACACCTGTAACTCTGGCTTCAAGCGTAAAGCCGGGACATCCAGCCTGACCGAATGCGTGTTCAACAAGACCATGAACGTGGCCCACTGGACAATTCCCAATCTCAAGTGCATCAGTAAGTAGCTGTCCCTGCAAGTCTCTCCATCCCCCTTCCCAAAGCTGTACAGAGTGGAACGGTAGTGTGGGGAGCTGAATGAGCCCATCTCTGGGGGACAAGACATTTGTGTTGAGGTCTAAGGCTAAATAAACCAATGGGCCTCTAAACAACGCCCCTGGGAGTTGAAAATACATAGGCTTCAGGGTCACAGTTTTGGGTTCCTTGAGCAAGGGTCTTACCATCTTGGAAGTCTTTGTTCCTCATCTAGAAAATGAACCCGATGTCAATGGTGTGGGCTATAGCAGTGTGCCGTGAAACCTGGTCAATATTGGCTGCAGCCATCCCTCACTCTGTTGCATTTTGCTTTATTGTACTTTACAGATAATTATGTTTTTTTTTACAAATTGAAGACTTGTGGCAATCCCGCTTCAAGCGTGTCTACTGTCGCCATTTTTCCAATAGTACTTGCTCACTTTGTGTCTCTGTGTCACATTTTAGTAATTCTCGCAGCATTTCAAACTTTCTCCTATTGGTTATGGGAGCTGGGACCAGTGATCTTTGATATTACTACTGGAATTCTCTTGGGGCACCACAAACTGCACCCATGTAAGACGGTTGACTTAATCAATGGATGTTGTATATGTCTTCTGACCGCTCCACGGACTGGCCATTCCCCTGTCTCTCTCCCTCTCCTTGGTCCTCCCTACTCCCTGAAACAGAACAACATTGAAATTAGGCTACTTAACAGCCCTACAATAGCTTCTAAAGGTTCATATGAAAGGAAGAATCACATCTTTCTCTTCAAGTCAAAACTAGGAATGATTAGGTTAGTGAAAAAAGCATGTCAAGTCAAGACAGGCCAAAAAATAGGCCTCTTGTGCCAAGTTATGAATACAAAGGAAAAGTCCTTGAAGGAAACTAAAGGTGCTACTCCAGAGAACACACAAGAGGTAAGTAAACAAAACAGACTTATTGGTGATATGGAGAAAGTTTTAGGGGTCCGAATCGAAGGTCAAACCAGCCACAACACTCCCTTAAGCCAAAGCCTCATCCAGAGCAAGGCTCTCTCTTCAATTCCATGAAGGCTGGGAGAGGTGAAAAAGCTGCAGAAGAAATGCTTGAGGCGAGCACAGGTTGGTTCATGCGCTTCAAGGAAAGAAGCCGTCTCCATAACATGAGTGCAAAGTGAAGCAGCCAGTTATCCAGAAGATCTGGCTAAGATAATTAATGAAAGCTGCTACACTAAACAACAGATCCTCAATGTAGACAAAACAGCCTTAGTGTGGAAGAGCCCATCTAGGACTTTCCCAGCTGGAGAGGAGAAGTCAATGTCTGGCTTCAGAGCTTCAAAGGACAGGCTGACTCTCTTTTTAGGGGCTAATGCAGCTGATGACTTTAAATTGAAGCCAGTGCTCACTGACCATTCTGAAAATCCCAGGAACCTTAAGAATGATGCTAAATCTATTCTGCCTGTGCTCTATAAAGGGAACAACAAAACCTGGAGGACAGCACATCTGCTTACAACATGGTTTACCGAATATTTTAAGCCCACTGTTGAGACCTACTGCTCAAGAAGTTTCCTTTCAAAATATGACTACTCATTGACAATGCACCTGGTCATCCAAGAACTCTGATTGAGATGAAAATGAAATTAATATTGTTTTCATGCCCGCTAAAAAAAAATCCATTCTGCAGTTCCCAGATCAAGGAGTCATTTCCACTTTCAAGTCTTAGTATTTAAGGAATACATCCCATAAGGTTATGGTTGCCAGAGATAGTGATTCTTTTGATGGATCTGAGCAAAGTAAATTAAAAACCTTCTGGAAAGGAGTCACCATTCTAGATGCTTTTAAGAACATTCATGATTCACAGGAAGAGGTCAAAATATAAACATTCACAGGAGTTTTGGAGAAGTTGATTCCAGCCCTCACGGATGACTTTGAGGGGCTCAAGACTTCAGTGGAGGAAGTCACTGCAGATGAGGTGGAAACAGCCAGAGAACCAGAATTAGAAGTGGAGCCTGAAGATGGGACTGAATTGCTGCAATCTCATGATCAAACTTGAACAAATGAGGAGTTGCTTCTTATGGATGAGCAAAGGAAGTGGTTTCTGGAGATGGAATCTACTCCTGGTTAAGATGACAACAAAGGATTTAGGATATTACATAAACTCAGTTGATACAGCAGTGGCGGGGTTTGAGAGAACTGACTCCAATTTTGAAAGAAGCTCTACTGTGGGTAAAATGCTATCAAACAGCACCACCTGCTACAGAGAAATTGTTCATGAAAGGAAGAGTCAGTCACTGTGGCAAACTTCATCAGTGTCTTATTTTAAAGAACTGCCACACCCACCCACCCCTTCAGCAACCACCACCCTCATCAGTCAGCAGCCATCAACATCGAGGCAAGACCCCCCCACCAGCAAAGATTATGACTCACTGAAAGCTCAAATGATGGTTAGCATTTTTCAGCAGTATTTTTAAATTAAGGTATATATATTGATTTTTTTTTTTAGACACTACGCTATTGCCCACTTCATAGACTATAGTATAGGGCAAACATAACTTTTCTATGCACTGAGAAACAAAAGATTCATTTGACTTGCTTTATTGCCACATTTACTTTATTGTGATGGTCTGGAACAGAACCCACAATATCTCTGACATATGCCTTTAGGATTATGGTAGCAAGAATTTGGCATGCTTGCTTCCCAGAGAGCTTCCCCAATTTTTCCCTAGAAGGCAACCTGTAGGGAAATTATTAGGGTTCTTTGTTGTTACCCCCCCCAGAAGGATGGGGGCTACCCAAGGAGCAGAGACTCCCTTAGCTTGGTCACCCATGCCTGGTGTCCAGCCAGCACTCCAGAGTCCATGTGAGGGATGGTTGTCAGAATCTATTTTTTTATGAACCATCCACAACTGGATAACTATGTCAGAAGCCAACAATCTTGGAGTGGAAGTCAATAGTGCTATTTCCAGGAATACTAAGGCCCTTACTCTAGAAAAATAAAGATTAACTCATGGTTTATTGCATATTTGATACATGTCCAACTGCAAGCTAGAGACTTTCTCATATATGTGAAAATTCTCAACTCCTCTCTGGGGAAGTGGACAAAAGGGGTTGTTCTAGAGCAAACTCACTCTGCTGTAGGATTCCTTGAAAAGCCAGACTTTCTCATTGATTTTGTGCACCTGCCCCCTCCCCCTGCGTGACATCATACAGACATCAGAGGCAGGGCAAGGAAGAAGCCTTCTATTTATTGTAAAGGAATCGCTCAGCTGGGGGACATAGTGCCACATGGCCTCAAGTGCAACTGAAGTGCTGAACTAGCTGGGTGACGACAGGTATGAGCAACAACACTATGGCAAAGACACAGAGTGGACATCTTATTCTGTCCAGTCTGGGCACCTGCTGGTACCTGTAATCCAGGGGCAAAAATAAGGGCTTTCCAGCACAGGCAAAGTGACTGTTTCTTCAAAGTGCCAATTCCTTTGGGTGAATGAATCTAAGATGGGGAAAAGTTGTAGGCTCTGAACTGGTTGGTGGGGGGTGGGGGTAGAGGAAGCAAGGGGATGAGACCTGGGATCATAGACTTTTAGAACCTAAAGACTGGAGGATCTTTAGGTTTCATGTAGCCCAAAGAATCCTCACCTTTTACCACTAACAACTCCCTCCATTACTTTTCCTAACCTCCTACGCTTGGAATGCTTTCTTTTTTCCTTACAAAACAACTGAATCTACTGAGTAATCATTTATTTTCCCATGTAAAAGACAGTATTATAAAACTGAGTTGATCTCATTGATATCCGTCTAACTGAAAATAACAAGACATTTGATATGTGTGCAGTCTTTCTGAAAGGCTAGAAAAAGAGTTTGGGTCTGTTTACGTTTGCCTGGGAATTGCAGATTAGGAAACATTGTTGCGTATTTCTTGGGCTTCTAACCTATCCTGGGAAGCCAGATATCTCTATTTTAAATCTATATGTTTATTTTTTTATTTCTGCGTGGTTGTGGAGCAATCCAGGTTCCACCCTCAGGCTCATGAATGCCATGTGGTTATCCTCTCTCTAGGAGACCCCTCCCTGACTCACCTAAGGCCATCCTCCACAGAAGTGCCAGCAGGGGTGACCCCAGAGCCAGAGAGCACCTCCCTTTCTGGAAAAGGTAGGGATGTTGGAAACTTTTTAAGGACTCCCATTCCCTGCGACCACACAGGTCCCTGTGAGCCCTTCAGATTCTTGGACCACCGCTGGAGTTCCACGGCCAACTTAAACAACAGGACACACTTTTTATTAACGTCAACGTTACATTAGCTTCATTTTCTCTTTTAAATCAAAGTGGCTTGATAGCTAGGTTTCGGCTGCACATAATTAATGATGGTTCGAAACCCACTCTTACAATGCCAGATCAGACTTAGCTGTAGACACACTTCCTCATCAAAACTGGGGAGGATCTGCGGTTTTGCCTGCCTTGCATGTTAGCCCGCCAACACGTCACGGGTGCCCGCGGAAAACACGCCGTTCCTGCTCCAGAGACCAAGGACGTTCTTCCTTCCACGGCACAGTGGGCAGCAGGACCCTCAGCATGTTTGCCTCAATTTCCTCGTCTCTATGTCCCACAGGGGCAACAGGGAGGGGCCTCCAAGATGCCTGCACATCCAGCAGGCTGCTTCATAGCAGAGGAAGCCTGAGTTAAGAAACTGGAGTCTTTTATAACCTGCTGACCATGTCTGTCCTTTGCTCCAGGGTGAGGCACTGTCCGCACCTTCCAAGGCTATAGGAACATCTTTGGAAAGATAGTCCCAAGAAAGGGCTGCCAGTGCCTCTGCCGACAAGACGTGCAGAAACATGAGGGACCCATGCAGAACTGTTCCCCCAACGGGGGACCGCCGGGTACAGGAGCACTGCACAAAGCTGCCAACGTTACGCATTTCCAGGGTCTTAGCTAATCTTCTATCCCAATTTCCTCAGCACCGTACTGATGTTAAGAAAATTTGAAAGCACAGATGCTAATGTCTTGGGACAACGTGCCCTACATCCTAGGAAAGCCTTACTTTACACTTAACTCCTGATTTTTTTGTGTCCCGTTATCCTGTGTGGTGCTTCCCCGGCCCCCGTCTCCCCCTTCACGCCCAGGCACAGTCATCCTGCTGTGGTGGGCTGCACTGCTCGGGCTCGCCTCCCCTTGAGCATGGCTTCCTAACCGTGGACACATGTGGGGACCTCCTCCTCCTCTGGCGGTCTGGGGAGCAGCCTGGGAATTAGGGTTCTAGAAGCTCCCCAGGTGATTCTTAGGGAGCCGAGGCTGAGTAGCAATGCTGCGGGGGGGGGGGGGGGGGGATGGCGAGGCCAGAGGGAGGTTTCCTCCTAGTTAGTTAGGTAGTTTGTTGGCTACAAACAGGAGGATATGGTTGAGCGCTGACTACATTTAAGTTTGGAGTAATTCCAAAACCCCTTTGACCCAAGTCATATCTGGTGCACCAACTGATGAGAATAATCAAGGCTGGTCTCTGCCAGCCTTGCCTTCGTGCATGGAACACTTGGTCAGGTGAAAGGCGTGGGAGTGTCATCTCTGACGTGGGGTGACATGGCCATGGGCACTTGGATGGAAATGCTTTGGGGGAGCTCTGTCTGCAGAGCGCCCGGAGTGCTGGCAGCCCGGATCGTGCGAGATGCTGATAGAGGACGAAGGGGCAGGAGGACGTCTCACAGCATAAGCGGCTGGGACAGCAGCCCCACACGGCGTGGCCAGACAGCCAACGGTGCTGGGGTCACAGAGGCACTTGTACCATGCTTCACAGTTTGGGGGCAGCCATTTGCCAGGTCGACAGGGACGGTGAGGGCCTGGACACAAGGTGGGCTGCCCTCCCCTTGATCAGCGCAAAACCAGGACCCTTCCTTCAAATATGCTAAGATTCGGTCAGGCTGAACCTCAGGCTTCCCCCCCATTTCAGAAGTCATGGGCAAACACGTAAAAAAATAAATGAAAATCCGCACCCCAGATGTCTTTGGCAAATACAGCTGCACTCAGTTTTTGAGAGCAGCCTCCCATAGCATCCAAGTCTACCCAAATCCATGGCATCTCGAACTTTGCACCATGATAAACAGCTGCAGAGCCTCTGGCATCCTTGAAAGTCCCGTGGCCATTCCAGATGGATGAACAGGCTACCCACATAAGGGATTTTCCCAAAGAGCCACGGAGGAGTGTGCCGGGGGAGGGCTGGGCTACGGTGGGCTTCACTAGAGCAAGTACCAAGTCCACTCTCTTCTGGAGCTGAGCAGAGACATGAGTCTAAATATTCATGTCCTCCATATGTTGCACTTTCCTACAGAACCAGCTTTCACTTCCAAGTCAGACACCACAGTGGCCACCGAGCCCGATATTGTGCTAGACTCCAGGCCGATGCCATCAAAGCCTCCTGCTACAGGAACCACAGGGCCGATCAGTCAGGAACCCTCCCAAGCCCCACCTCAGACAACAGCAAAGGCCTTGGAACGCACTCCCTCCGCCTCACAGGAGAGGCCAGGTTAGCACTGGCTTTGCATACTTTAGGAGAAGTCAGCAACCCGTGGGCTGCTTCTTGGGTGTGGGTGGAGACCTCGAGTGAGCCAGCTGCACAGCATTATACCATCTGACCCAAAGCCCAGACAACTCAGTGACCCCCTGCTCGCTGCTCTGTGTCACAGCCTCCCTGCTCTGCCCTCTAACCTCTGTGCTCCACCCTGCTTCAGCCCAGCTGGAAAAGAAAGTCCATCTCCTGGATGGGACAAGGCTCACCGTACAGACCTGCATGGCAGAGGCTTTGCCAATCTGAATAATATCTGCCTCCTCCCAATATGGAGGACAGTGGAAGCCTTCTGCAATCTGGAGTCACAGTCTGTGGGATGGAAAAGCTCTTGGTAATCTGCATCTTCCGTAAAGGCATAGCTGATTCTTTGTGGCGTGTTTTTCTCTACCACAATACCATTGATTCTGCTCCCCCCTGCCCCATGCTGTACCTTTCATCCCCGTGACTTATTCATTCCATCACTGGGAGCCTGGACCTCCCACTCCCCCTTCACCCGTTTTCCCCATTCCCCCCCCCGCCACACACACACACATTCCTCCCCTCTGGCTGTCATCAGTTTGTTCTCTGTGTTTAAGGGTCTGTTTCGGCTTTTGTCTGTTTGTTCACTGGTTTCGTTTTTTAGATTCCACATCTAAGTGAAATCATATGGTATTTGTCTTTCTCTGTTTGACTTATTTCACTTAGCATAATACACTCTACGTCCAACCATTGTTATTGAATGGCAAGATTTCATTCTTTTTTATGGCTGAGTAATACTCATATTACATATATACCACATCACTATCCATTCATCTACTGATGGACACTTGAGCTGCTTCCATATCTTGCCTACTGTAAATAATGCTGCAATGAACATAGGAGTGCATATATCTTTTCAAATTAGTGTTTTTGTTTTCTTTGGGTAAATACCTGGCAGAATTACTGAATCATATAGCTATTTCTATTTTTAATTTTTTTGAGGAACCTCCATACTGTCTTCCAGAGTGGCTGCACCAGCTTGCATGCCCACCAACAGTGCACGAGGTTCCCTTCTCTCCACATCCTCCATAACAATTGATGTTTCTTGTCTTTTTGATTCTACCCATTCTCACAGGGGCAAGATAATCTGTCATTGTGGCCTCACATTTGCCTTTCCCAGTGATGTTGAGCATCCTTTCGTATGCCTGTTGGCCATCTGTGTGTCTTCTTTGAAAAAGCGTCTATCTGGTCCTCTGCCCATTTTTAATTAGATTATTTGCTTGTGTGTGTGTGTGTTGAGTTGTATAAGTTCTTACACACTTTGGATATTAATCCTTATCAGATGTCACTTGCAAATATCTTCTCCCATTTAGGAGGTTGTCTTTTTGTTTTGTTGATGTTTTCCTTCGCTGTGCAAACAGGGCATATTTGATTCTTAAGCATGGCCCAGCATCTAAATAAATTACCCTTGTCCTCTGCTAAAGGGAATTTGGTTTTGCCAGCCATCAATCTCTCAAGGCTTTAGGATGACAACCAAACTGTCCCAAATTCCTCCTGCTTAATGAGAAACTAGTGCCTTAACTGAGAAACAGCAATAACTGAGCTGCAATCTCTTCTCTGCAGGTACATATTCATACAATTCTGGAACTGTGACTGGTAAGTTGTTTTTTTTTTTTTTTTCTTGTCCTCGCAGTGTTTATGCCCAGAGGACCTCAGTCGCAGGGGGTGGGACAGTCCTGGTTTATGTGCTGCCCAAGCCTGGCCACCAGCAGCATCCCCTTCTCCGCTCAAGAGTGTCTCGGTTTAGATAGTAAGTTATAGGATCACCCTACTTACGGGATTCTAACATGACTGCTTATCTCACTATTGGTAGCTCCTCCCTGTCAGGCTACTGATGTGGGAACCAGAGAGCTGACGCATCACAAAAGAGCCTCCTTCCCCTAAGGGGGGCTAGACTTGCATGCAGGACTTATGAGAACACCACACGTGGGTGCTACTGTCATTGCAATGCTGTGATTCTGCCATAAACTGCATTCATCTTTCACAGGGTTTCAGCATGATGCCCTTCTCAGCAAGGCTGCTCAAATGTCTCAATATAAGAGGCTTCTTTTTACGGAAGAAGTACACAACTTTAAGGCTAGGAGAGAAAGTGAATGACCCAGGGAGTGTGAGGGGAATGGAAAAGCGTTCACAAGAATTAAAGAAAGAGAGGAAGGGAGGGGAGGAGACAGGAAGAAGAGAGAAGGGAGAGAGAATTGCAATCGTAAGAAAGAATCTAAGACTTTTGTCTGACAAGTTTTCAAGAAGCCAAAAAAAAAAAAAAAAACCCACCGTAACTTCGTACAGACAAAAATTATTTCTATTTTTCATTTACAAGTTTTTCTACTGGAGAATGACTCGTTTTTGTGGCTATATTTTATCTGCATCAGGTATCATCTAGGGGCGCCCAGGTGGCTTAGTTGGTTAAGTATCCAACTCTTTCAGCTCAGGGTGTGATCTCAGGGCATGAGACTGAGCCCCACGTCACCCCGCATCACCCCACATTGGCTCCATGCTCAGCGGGGCGTCTGCTTCTCTCGCTCTCCCTCTGATCCTCGCCCTACTCCCACTCACTCTCTCTCAAATAAATAATAAATAAATAAAATCTTTTTTTTTTAAATGTCATCCAGAAAAAAAAAAAAAAGTGAGGGGTGCCTGGGTAGCTCAGTCAGTTAGGCATCCAACTCTTTCAGCTCAGGTCATGATTGTGGGATGGAGCCCCTCTCTCCCTCTCCCTCTGCACCGCATCCTCCCCCACACAGGTGCATGTGCACGCACTGTCTCTTAAAAAAAAAAAAGGCCAACCAAGTGGGTTTGGTCATTTCAGCAGCTATTTGATAAAAAGGTTTTTAAAAAAAAAAAAAAGGGGTTAAAAAAAAAAAAAAAAAAAAAAAAAAAAAAAAGCCCATCTGGAAAGTATTTTCATGGAGAAACTGTGGGATTAATGACAAGGACACCGAAACAAAAATATGTTTACCACTTAAGAGGCAAGCAGTAAATAAAGTAGCTAACCTAATTTTTCTCCTTATGTCACATATTATATTAACCTTTCTACAAAGTTTTACATTTTTTATTCGTTTTTTTTTAACTGGTAATATTTGCACAGTGTTTAAAGATTACAAATTACAAAAACATATAGAGCAAAAAGCCCCATCTCAGGCTGAAAATCCCCCTGCAGGAAGAAAGCAACTCCTGCTACCAGATTTCTGTGTATCCTTTCAGAGAGTCAACCCGTAAATAGCTCACAGAGGATATATGATGCTAAATAGATACTGTATTTTCACTGTTTTGCACCTTGTTCATTTCCACCTAATGGTATCTCTTGGAAATCCTTCCATATCAATACATTAAAACCACTTCATTCTTGAAAACAGCTACAAAAAATCCTACCATATGGATTTGCCAGAATTTATGTAGCCAACCCCTATTTGGACATGTGACTGTTTACATTCTTGGACTATGTTACAAACAGTGATTAATTGGAAAACCTATCATTTTGCTGTGGGCAAGTATATCTGTAGGAAAAAAATCCTATATATAAAATTTGAGGGTCCGTGTTTTCTAAGTAGATTTTCAAACAACTACTTTATTATGGGATATCATCTTATATTTTTCCAGCTCCTGACTTTCACTAGATTAAAATATCAGAAAGTCTCTCCCAAATTCTGCAGTATAATGTAATACACATTAACTCAACACCTGCAATAGGCAAAAATAGCTCCGTGCAAGAAACTGTGGAAACAGATTAAAAAAAAAAAAAAAACTTTAAATCTTTCCTGTTATGTGAGTAAGATTTCCTTCTTCTGGGGGTCTTTAAGATAAACATGTTAGCACCTAACTTACAAGACAGATCAAGTAATTGTTAGCCAAGAAATAAAAAATAAAGACGAGTTCTATTTCATTAGGTGTTATTTAAGTTTTATTGTCTAAGAAGGTGTAAACTGAAATTGAAATCATGCTAGTTTTCTAAAAACATTTAGTGATGGTGCCTGCCAAGTATGTCATATACAGTCCCAGCTACCTGAGACCCAAGAGTTTGCCCCTGTTAGGTACAAACGGCAGAGACACCAGCTGGCTCCTTGGGCATCCATAGGTGTTAGCATTTCTGCATGAATAAGCAATCGGTTGACCATGTTTGTAAGCAAATATAGATGCTTTACCACAAGAATCACTCAGCAAATGTTAATTAACTGACTATTTTCATCAGCCCATTGATAAGTACCAATATCATAATTTTTTAAGTTACATAAATGATTATCACAACTTATAAAAGTTGCTTTTTTTAGTTCAACAGAAAATGGTAAATAGTAGATGCTCAATAAATAGTGAGTGAGCAAATGAGTATGTTAATTTGAAGACTTTAACATTTTAATAAATGTTTAGGAAGTGCGATTCTTCATTTCATTATCTTAAGTATCTACAGGCTCACTTGGCAGGCTTTTTTTTCTTTAAGATTTTATTTATTTATTTTAGAGAGGGAGAGCACAAGCAGGGGGAGGGACAGATGGCAGAGAATCCCAAGCAGACCCTGTGCTGAGTGCAGGGCCCCACGCAGGGCTCCATCTCATGACCCTGAGATCACAACCTGAACCGAAACCAAGAGTCACATGCTTAACCAACTGAGCCACCCAGGCGCCCCTTGGTAGCCCTTTTAATCAATGATTTCATTCAGCTATTCCAATATCCCCTATCTGATCTTTGACTAGGCTATTCCTGAGGACTCCTGATTGTAAAGTAAAAAGCCAGAATGTCACCTATGACAGTGTTTACATTGCCATGTTCATTTAAGACACAAGGAGGGAAGAGTTAATTCTTCAGACTGTGTTATACTTCTCATCTTTCATATCTGAAATCAATTTGCTGCAGTTGATATGCTCAGCCTTTAACAGGAGCTAGCTATTATATCATTCCTCTGTTTATTCAATATAGATTGGGTTCTAACTCTGTGCCGGGTTGGTCCTAAGTTGCAATGAAATGCAGATTTCTCATTGAGAAGCAAATGGCACGTCAAATATACTTTAACTTATGGACTGTAGGAATGGTTTAGTTCAATCAGTTAGGTATTTATTGAGTACCTACTCTGAACCCAACACTTACTGTGTGCTTAGTGCAGTAAGAGACAGAAGAGAAACACTGCCCGGGAATAATGATGTTCTTACTTCAAAACTGCCTTCATCAGATGCAGGCACACCAGCACTCAGAAACAGCACTTCCTGGCTGATCTAGTTGGTAGGTACTGCTAAGGAATGGTGTCCCCCTGCCCATGTTCTCAGAGGACCTCTTCATCATCAACATTGAACAGTGACCACTGGTTGCCTCGGCCACCTTCTTCGCTTTAGACCCAACACGCACTGCGGGCTGAAGTCAAGGCAGGGAGCTACTGGCCTTTCTCGGCCTCCTGAGCAATAATCCACCCCGCCCCCCACCGGCCCTGACTCAAATCCTCCTCTGTTCTCCTCTGGTTCACCAAAACTCTCTCTCTTCCTTTTTCTCCAACCCATGCATCCCTCAGGAAACACAAAACGGTGGGGGAACTTGCCAGTTGATTTGTTTACCTAGCATCTTTATGATTTTGGTTTCAATTTTTTTTACCCAGTTTGCCTGGATATAATGGAGGAAGAGGCCAAGGGTATGAGTTTGTCCCTGGATTCAAAGTGCTCTGTCACATCACTGGCTCAGGGCCCTCCTTTCTCCCTGGAATTGGGAGTCTGCAGGTGTGATTCTCATTCAGAAGAAACAGGAAGAGGCATTATGAAAGCAAAACTACAGCTGAAATCATCTGGCCTTTTCCAATAAATCCCTCTGTGGACAATAAATGCATGCTGAGCTGATGAGTCAATGGAAGAAATAGTTTACCCTAGGGCACAACATCTCTTAGGAAGCATTTCTGGTTCTTAGTCATAATGATGATTAATGTTAAGTCTGAAAACTCAAAACATTTTTCACTAATTTGCCATGCTTCCTTGTTACTTCCTTTGGGACTTTTCTATTCTTGTTTGTATTTACTTAGGCACAGGTAGTTTGGTTTTGACAACTTCACTGTTTCTTCTGATGACAGTACCATTTCAAAAATATCAGGGAAAAAGCAAACTTTTTAAAAAAGAAAATAAAGATTATCTACAAGCCCACCATTACTTAGTACTTTGGTATCTATTCTTCAAGGCTGTCCTGTGCCTATGGACACACACATGGCTTACTGGAGATTATTTTTTGGTTCATTTTTATCTCAGCCAGTTTTTTTTTTTTCACCTAAGTAATCGGAGGCATCTTTCTGTGTTAATATAGATTCATTTCATAATTTTTAAAAGCTGGATGATAGTCCAATGTATGGGTATACCACAGCTTAATTAATTTTCTATTAATAAGAGATTAACATTTTAAAAATTGTTTTAAATAATACTTCAGTGAATACTCCTGCATGTATTTGCCCATTTCCTTGGAATAAACTCCTAGAAGTGGGACTAGAGAATCAACGGCGGTGGTCTTCTCTAAAGCTGTTGTTACATGTTGCCGACTGCCCTTGAGAAAAACCGTACTCCGTACCCGGCGGAGAATCTGAGTGTTTCCCCACATCCTTGTATTTCTCTGTTTTTCGATAGAGTTGTATTTTGGAGGCAAAGATAGGAGAAGTATCCTGTACAGGAGGTCGTGTGCTGGTTGTTTAGGCACAGGTCCAAACAGCCGAACAGTCTAGGAGATGTGACTCGTGGTCCACAGTCAGACCGCTGGCCCCCCCAGATGTTCATGGTTGTCATCCTTCATGGAGGGCAGGTAGTCTTTTGCAGGGAGATTTCACAATATGGAGGCAAACTGGCCAACTCCGCCTGGAGCTTATTATTTATTGATGCAAGTGTTCTTAAAATACTTAGGTTCACCGAGCCCTTGGGCTAAGCCCTCTGGCTTCCACATGGAGACGCCACTCTTCCTGTCCTGCCCAATAAAGCTCAAATGCCCGACACCTGCTGGCCTCCTACCTGCAAGTGCCCCCACCACTCCGGGCTGTTCCTTTCAACTCACCCCAAACAGGATCTTTCCCTTCTCCCGAGCCACGGCCTTCCTCTCCTCTAATCCGCAACACCTTTTACGACACCTCCTTTCTCTCCTTACCACCCTTCCTCTGCCATAAAAAGCTGCCAATAAAAACACAGTAATGATGGGGGCGCCTGGGTGGCTACGTCAGTTAAGCATCCAACTCGATCTCAGCTCAGGTTTTGATCTCAGGGTCGTGAGTTCAAGCCCCACACTGGGCTCCATGCCCAGCGTGGAGCCTACTCAAAAAAAAAAAAAAAAAAATGAAGTTGGAAGAAACATGGCACTGCATGCTGTTGTTTCTAAACGGGGATTCTGTGAAGTTGAAGAAAAGGGGGAGGTGGTCCCAAGGACAACTATTTTCTGACTTTGGATTAAGCAGCAGACCAGCCTTGCCAGCTTGTGAACTCTGAGGCCTTTACTTTCCCCTCTCGTCCCATCACCATGTCACCCCAACCAGGAAGGATGGATTAGAAGCTGGGGATGTGGGATGACGTGAAAGCAGATGGTTTGAACTGGTGGTATTGGTGGGAAAAGAATACACTTTCTGCCCAGAAGTAGAGCAGATTGGACTGTGTGGACTTCCAGAAATGTCAGTAACAGTCAGCTGGGGCTGGGAAGGCATCTGGATCTCTCTGCAGGATTGTCAACTGTAAAGAGTTTTCAGGGTCTTAGACATGAACCTGCTGCCAGGACTCTCCGCAGGACAGCTCTGTTCTGTTCTCTTGCAGCGGCCATCGCCACACCTGTCACTGTGCTCGGTGTAGTATGCGTGGTGCTTCTTCTGGTCTGTTACCGAAAATCCAGGTGAGAAGCGCGAGGGAATCACAGAGGACGGGATTCTTCCTTTCCTCCCAGAAAAGAGCTGCATCATTATGATTCCGCTGCCCCCTCAAAGCAAGACCCCCTTTCCTGGCTACTGAGGCGGGCTCTCACGCCCGCTCACTCCTGTACTGGCCAATGGGGAGCTGGCCCTGGGAGGCCCCCCACAGGCCACCAGTAGGAGACACGGAAGCCAGAACCTAACTGGTGACGAGGGGCCGCTCTACCACAAGGAAAGAAAAGAATGAACGTTTTCTTTCCTTTTTAAAAGAAGGAAAGAACCTACCCAATAACCATTGTGATGGGCATGCAATTGCTGTGATACAGTCATGAATATATTTTCTTGAATATTCTCATTCAAATACAGGGATACTTTCTTATTTATGTGCTCATTCATGTAAGCCTGACTTTTGTATTTCTAGTCACTGAAATTCTTATTTCAGCATTGGGTGACGAGAAAACCGTTTCTGCCACTTGCCGAAATTTCAGTTTTTATTATTTTTCTAATCTTGAGGCATTTTTATAATTTTCATTAAAGCCTCAAATGGCATATTTGCCTTAATTTCATATTTGTATCAATTAGAACCTAGTAACCAGCATTCTATGTTGATATGGCTGTTCTGGATCCTTCCTCAGCAACACAGTGAACAGGAGAAATCAGATTTGTTGAAACAAAACTTCTCATTGCTAATCATAAAGAATTCTTTTCTAAATATATCAGTATAAGGATGATACCATCCTTTGAGCCTCACTTCGGCAAAATGAATGTTCTATGAAATGCTACTGTGAAGCCGAAACGAAAAAGTCATCTAAAAATTCACATCCATCTTTGAAAGCTGTTAATACCATCCCAACCAAAAGAAATGCCATAAATCCCATAGATCGTTTAGAAAGAACATGCTAAGGTTGATGTGTGACTCGAAAGTCTGTCAAAACAATCCCCAAAATGCTAAAATGCTGGCAAAATAAAAAATGACTTTTAAAAGGAGTTTCAATGTGTTGTTATAACTAAATTTCCACATGACATGTTGTCTTTGGAGTTACATTCTTAAAAGAGTATAATGACTAACTATATTCATTGACTTAAAAAATGTACACAATTTTTTAAGAAAAAGACATTAAGAATAGGATCTTACAAGAATTTGTAAATTCGGTATATATGGCCAATAGGTATGCCGATAAGATGAAAATATCAATATTCACTGACTATAGTAGAGAAATATTGATAAATGTATCGGTAAGATTTGGTAAACCTGAAAAGCATAGCTACTTGGTCATTTGGCAAATCAATTCTTTGCTGTAAACTTATTTTTTACAGATGGGTTCTTAGGTAGATTTGGTCATTCAACAAACTGGCTTTCGGCAAATTATTTTCAGCACGTTGGCCCAGAGTCCTGATTTTCGTTTAGCTCTCACCGCAAGGAGCTCAAATGCTTATGTACTTGATAACTGAAATGTGGCTGACATACAATAGCCTGTTAGTTTCAGGTGTGCAGCATACCGATTCGGCATGCTTATGCATTACGAAGTGATCCCCACGACAAGGCTAGTTACTACCTGATGCCATACAAAGTTATTACACTATGATCGACTGTATTCCCTGTGCTGTACATTATATCCCCGTGACTTATTTTGTAACTGGAAGTTTGTACCTCTGAATCCCCTTCCCCTATTTCACCTGCCCCCCAGCCCCTCCCCTCTAGCAATCACCAGTTTGTTCTCTGTGTCCACAAGTCTGTTGGTTTTGTTTGTTCATTTTTGTTTTTTAGATCCCACAAATGAGTGAGATCATATGGTGTTTGTCTTTCTCTGTCTGACTCATTTCACTTAGCACTATACCCTCTAGGTCCATGCATGTTGTTGCAAATGGCAAGATCTCATTATTTGTTATGGCTGAGTAATATTCCATTGTGTGTGTATACACACACACACACACACACACACACACATCTTCTTTATTCATTCATCTGTTGATGAACACTTAGGTTGCTTCCATATCTTGGCTGGTGTAAATAATACTGCAGTGAACTCGGGGTGCAGCTATCTCTTCAAATTGGCGTTTTTGTTTTCTTTGGATTCAAAGAGTTTACTTTGCAATGTCCCAAAGAGTTGCCTATCCTCAAGAGGTGGATGACATAATCCATGGAAAAAATTGCTGACCCAGATACTCAGGGCCAAAAAACACAGGCCCTTCAATGACAGGGAAACACGTGGAATTAAGATGTTCTGCCTCCCCCACTCTTGGGTTACTCAGGAACTGGTTAATATATTTGTTTCTTTAAACACATACCAAGTACCAAGAACTGTTTTAAAAGCTTTCTGAATATTACATCATTTTTATCAAGATGATCATGTCTGGCTTTGCCGGGCTCCCAGTTACTCTCTCCTTTTTGTTCCTGCCATCTGAAATACTGCTTTTTTAGCAGAGGATTGGAAAAGAGGGGGTAAGCTGCTCCAACAGCATTGGTCAATCTTTGGTGGATGAGCGGCTTAAAATACCAAAGTAAGATTTAAATACCAGCCGTGAATGGAGGTAAGCTAGGTTTTCCCCATCTGAGTGTTCAACCAGAACTATCTGTTCACTCAAGCTGAGGGCGACCCGCCCCTCTTTTCAAAAGCTGTGACTGATCTGCTTTACAGGCAAACTTCGCAGACACCCAGTGTTGAAATGGAAAGCATGGAAGAGATGCCAATGACTAGAGGAACCAGCGGCAGAGAGGAGGACGCAGAAAACTACCCACACGACCTGGGACACTCAGGGGGAGACTGAGGGCAGCAGAGACTTGAGCGAAGGTGCCAACCCTGCCCTAGCCAAAGAGGACCTGGAAATGACTCAAGGACCTGGGCACCAGGAAACAGCCCATCAGGATGATAAAACAAACATCTTGCCATCATTTTATCGACAGCACCCAGCCAAGACACCTCCTAGGCTCTGCAGTCTCAGGATGGATGCTCGGGACCTGCCCTGCCCTGCCCGGCCTCAGGTGTAGGGCTGCCTTCCCCAGATCCCAGCAGTTGAAGGTTTCCTGGGAGCGGCTGAAGGCCTCGGCTTTCCTTTTATTTCATTGTGACATTTATTCGGGATAGCTTAGCAGCTTGACTATTCCACCCCTCATCCTGACTTGCAGCTTACAGAGAAAAGAAATACACCTGAGACTCTTAAGACAATTCTGAGTCTCCTGCTGGCGTAAGAGACATCTACAAGGATGACAAGTGTTGCAGCTCCAAACGCTTTCCCTCTGCTGAGGTGCTCTGCAGGCACTGAAAGGGAACAAAGAGGTATCATGCCCCATGAATCCACTTGACTTAAGGATTCACAAAGAAGGAAACTGAACTCAGTGACATTTTCCATGTATATGCATTTCTATTTATACTCCCTATTATATCTACATATTTTATATAACTGTTATTTTGAAATTGTGCCTTGTATAAACAAAATGTCTATTTTCAATATAAAAAAAAATACACTGAAAGAATCACTGAGAAGAAATGCGCCACGAATAAAAAAGAGGAGAAAGAGCGGGAATGCAGAGTCCCAAACAGTTGAGCTTGGCTTTTCTTTCTAAAAGGAGGGGAAAAAAAAAAAAAAACCCTCGCCTAAAGCTAGATCTGATCACAGTTTTGGAGACTCTCTAACAAGATTTCCATGTGTGAAGCAGTAAGTGGCAGGTTATGGCCCAGGTGTGCCTGGCATACCCACTGTCTCTTTCCCTGCACTTTCTTTTTTTCTTAAATAACATTTATTTCTAAAATCAGGGGCCTCATCCACCTCCTCATTTTATAGAGGAGAAAACTGAGGTTTATAGAAGTTGACTTGCCCAAGGTCACATGGCTCAATTAATGCCGGCTTGGGCTGGGCAACGTTTAGGGCGGGCAAGGGGGTAGGAGAGGAGCAGCTCCAACTACAACTCAGCCGTTGACGGCCTCTCGCACAGCCAGGGGTAGTCAGGCCGCCATCACAAGCATTTGGAAAGTGGGACACAGACTCAGCGACCATCCACGTCACCAGCAGCTCACCAAGGGCCATTCCTTGCTAACTTCCCCACGTCATCAATTTAGACGGTTTCATCAAAAGCGAAGGAAGGGTAGGACTTTCCAGTGGCTGGTGCTGGGATTTTAGAGCCATGCTGTTTTCACTCCCTGCAAATTCTCTTTCCCAAAGAGAGGAAACTCATCACTAACACATGAGTGGAGCCATTGTATTTGCTGTGCTTACTCACTTGATTATCCTGAATCTGCCTGATTATCTAAATGTTTTGCTTCTCGCTTCAGCTGTTTGCCCCTATGTTTCTAGAGTTTACCATTAACTGGATCCATTTCGTTCTTTATAAGTTTTAAGAGTTTGACCCTTGTGATTTCAAAAACTAATTTGACAGAAGACACAACTCGGCATAAAAAAAAATTGACAGCTGTTCAGTAGAACCAGAATTTTGAAAGGTTTCTACTGGGTGTAAAAGAGTTAAGTCAAAGGGCTACTTCACAGCTTTGTGGTTCCATTTTACCATCATCTTTGGAAAACTAATATGACGACCTCCGGGGGGCCCATTTCAGAGCTGTAGAATCACCTGGCTCTGGTCCATCACAGAATAAGTCTGTGATCTATCAGGCACCAAGTTCAAGGTGGGGAAATCACACGACAAAAATTAGATCTAGCAAAGTAGATCGAGACCCAGAAGCAAGCAGGGTGGAGTGGAGTTGAAGTCCGGAAGGACCCAGGCCGGTGGGGTGGGGGTGGATAAATAAATCAAGTGTTTGTTTTAAAGAAGCAAAGGGGTAAAAGGAATTCTCTTAGTAGGTGGTGCAGTCCTAGGGACATGTCTAAGTAAACCTCTATGATGCCAAGACATATCACGGCCCCAGAATTTACCCACTGAGCAGTGATGAACATCTTGAGATTAAGAACTATTTTCATCTTTGAATTTTCAGGGACCGTTGAAGTGCCCTGAAGGTGATTAAGAGACTCTGGATAAGTAAAATAAATGATTCTTAACCAAAATAGAGCAAATTTTTCTGACATATGGTAGCCTGTTCTCAGGCACGGCTCTAAAGGAGGTGATGTTTGGGGGCACTCAGCTACTAGTCTTTCTACATCCAGTCTCCCCATCCTGCCTTGACAATTCCAAGCACTGCCTCGCGTTCTGTCCCCATTCTACACGAAAATAGTACTTGCTGATGCCCAGAGGGTTTGGTTGGGGAGGACACGTGGGACCTGGAAGTGAGGAGGAGTGCTCAGAGAGCAATGATAAGCTACAGTGGAAGGGCGGGTGTGAGTTCTACCAGCAAGTGAGTAGTACGTAGCGGTGTGAGGCGCACCTATTCTGCTGCATCACGGCCCCTTCCTAGTCCCTCCCGCCTCCCCCTATCAGGAGGCTGCATGCCAGAGTCCTCCGGAATCACCACTTTCCCCTACCCTACCCAAAAGCCTCTGATTCCTTCAACCTGGGAAGCGTCCTGCCAATTGAGCTGGTAAGACGCTACTTGCTCTAGTTATCTGTTGCTGCAAAACCCACCATGGAAACAGCAGCTTGAAACTGCCATTGTTTATGATCTCTGGGGGCCAACTGGGCTCAGCCAGGTGGCTGTGCTTTATGTGGCGGCAACTAGGCACACTCATTCGGCTGCATTCAGCATGGCTGGGCTGAGCTGGAAGGTCTAAGAAGGCTTCATGGGCTCGTCGGGGGCCTTAGCATGCCTCTGAGCTGGCCTGGGCTTCCTGGCAGCATGGCAGCCTTGGGGAAGTCAGAAGAAACTGCCAGGCCCCTTAAAGGCTAGGGTAGGGACCGCCACACATCACTTCTGTGCATTTTATTGGTCAGAGCAAGTCACCAGGCAGCCAGATTCAAGGGAAGCAGTAACAACAAAAGGAATCAATGGAAACTATCTTTGGAGATTCTCTACCACAATACTTCCCCGGGGGCCATCAGAGAAATGGAATTTGTCTTTCAATCTCTGGCATTCAGTAAATGCCAATAAATCCCCGACGGGTGAATGAACAAAATGATCCAAGGGTACCTGCGGGGGACTGAGAAGAGACCATGTTTTAATTTTTTTTAGTGGAAAAGGATTTGAAAGTTCTTCAACTGGTAAGCCTTTAGCCCACATCTGTCACCTGACTGCAAATATACATAATTCACATTGTTTTCTCCTCTTTCATTTCCTGTCATCCACAACATCTGCCATGAAGAAAACTGATTGATCTTCATCTTTTTTGTCTTGCTTTTTTTCCTTGATCGATAAATAAGACTCTTATTATTTTCTTCTTTTTAAACCTTCCTCTAGACAGTAGGAAGGGAACAGGGACCAAAGAGATACATTTAAGGGTCTCTCCATGTTTCTAACTGTCCAACTGTCCAATCTGTTTTCTTCACCAAGGAAGGACCTTTTACTAGGAGCCTCAGAATATCAAGAATGTAATGGAGAATCTTGTTTGTTTTCCCACAAGTCTGTGCTCCTTGAAGGCCAGACCAGCTAGATTCAAGCAATAGTAGCCCCAATACCTCACGCTCCCTGGGGTGTATCAGAAATTCTATGTGTGGCTCTTTTCCCAGAATTTATAAATACACAACACCACATTTATGTGGAATTCTGGCTCACTTTTATCGCCCCTAAGAACCTGTCTGTAAATCCACCCATCCCACTTTTGCTATTTTTAGCTCCCCAGGAGGTAGTACTCCTCCCATTTTGGGGACCCAATATTGTGTTGGGGGTGCCTTCCTGCCCACTAACTTAGAGAGGCAGATATCCCCTCTCCTGCTCCCACCACCGTGTGGGGCCCTGACCCGGGCTCATCAGATACCACAGTTAGTTAGCACGCAGAAGCTGTGCTGTGAATATGGAACGAAAGAACACAACAGAATTGATACAGCAGCACCCAGCAATGCTTCAAAACCATCAAACGGTTGTCATACTGTTTCTTGGCTCTGCAGATTTGGGCTTTGGTTCCTCTCCATTTCCCAAACGGAATCCTCCAGCTTCCCATGATTCTATGAGCCCCCAGCATTCTTTCAAAACATTTTCTTTTTCCTTAGAACAGACCCGGTTTTCATTACTTGTCACTGAAAATTTCCTAACTGGTAGGGAATGTGGTGCTGGGAGAGCATATTGCAAATGAGAGAAGTAGGGAAATGGGGACGATCTGTGATGGTTGTCTGCCTTCGAGAGAGGGCAGGAAGTAGTGACAGTCCTGCTAATATTCGGAGATGTGGACCCAGCAGCCCATGGCATGCTGTGAATTAGTTCCCCAAAAGTTATCTGGAATGGCATGCCCACTGTGAAGGCCCAGTTCTGGGAGACTGCATCGCTGCCATCCTAAAATATCATGGGTAAAGAAAGTCAAGGCCATAGATGGGTGACAGCGAATAATTTAGAAAAGAGAGTAACAATCTCAAATCCTTAAGGTCTCAATTCAAGCCACAGATGGAAACCTAGAGACTTCTACAACCAGGCTGAATCTCATCCTTCAGAGAGCAAAGCCAAGAGGGCTGGAAACCCACATTAAGAGCCTGAGTCCTTCTGCCATTGAATACCATCAGCTGAGTTTACAGGCCTGCCAGGTTTCTTAGCTGAGAGGCAGGGCACTGATTGGATAATACTGGAATGAAGATCCAGGGGGAAATGTGCAGGGCTCACAGGGATCCCCACCCCTCCACTTACTCCCCCTTGTCCTCAGAGGCAGCCCCCAGTTTTGTCTGGTCATGCTGCTCCTCACTTCAAGGTAATACCGCTTCCTGGGCTGCGGAGCAATCTTGCGAGAGGAAGCCTGTTCTCCTAGTGACCCACCGCCTGACTCCTGGTCTGCAAGGGAAGAGACCTGGACGGCTCCCACAAAGGCCATCCAGAACCTAGCTCCGCGCCGCCTCCCTCACTGCACTTCCCTTGGCCCCCCAGGAACCGCCCTGCCGTCTTCTCGCAGGCCAGGCACATCGCTCACCATCAACTCGTTTGTCAGTCGTGTGCTATGCTCTCCACACCCAATCTGCCCTTCAAGAGGCAGCTCGGTTTTCGACCTTCTCGGGGGAGCCTTCACTAACTACTCAAACATACAAAATGCCCTGCCTCTGGGCTCCCGTAACATTCATTGTGCACCCTATAAATGTGGCACTTGCTTCTTACTACCTCCGTGCAGTGGAAGGAACACGGGACTTAGAAGACCTGGGCGCCAAGCTTTCTTTCTACCTTGCTGGTCTCGTCAGCTTGGAAGAACCCCTTAGGTTCCATCTTTGAAGAGGTAACACCCATGTATGGTCCTTCTCACCAAGGTGAGGAGCAAAAAGGGATACTCGAAAGCGCTTTGTGACTGGCATGTGTCTCTCCTCTCTCTCTCTCTCTCTCTTTCTCTCTAGACACTAGAGATGCTGAAACCGAAGACCTGGGCCTTATCCTTGAGGTGCTTACAGCCTGGCCAAAAAAAAGACCCATCGAAACAAAGCAAAACAAAGAGCTCACACCACAAGTTTAGTCGATACAAACGCCACAGGGGTCATGAACACAATAATGCTGCAGATGTTTGGGAAAGGAAGAAATCACTAAAAGGCCTAGATGTTTGGGGAGTCTGTTTCGAAGTGACGGGACTTACGATGAAGGATGGGCAAGATCGAAGTAAACAGAAACAGGCAGGGAGGGTTCTACAAGGGGCAAGGACAGAGGCGGGGACACAGACAAGAGAGAGTAAGGCAGATGGCAGGCTGTGAGCTGGGGCTCCAGCACGATCGCGCAGTAACCACATGTCAAACAAACCAGAATAAAGGAGACTTCAAGAGCAAAGGTCTCGCGGGCACTGGATCTAGGGTATTCCCCGCTGCATCCCTGGCTCTACCCAACAGCCCCTTTCTGGTAGATAGCCATCACCACGAACTGAGATGGTTACTTTCCCAGGGCTGTTTCTTCAATCCTCTGGACAAAGGACCAAAAGCACAAAGTACAAAATGAGATCTGTTTATATACTGGAGAATCGGCTACTGGCGGCTACCTACGCCTCCCCTTCCTTCTCAAGTAAGTCCCAACATTTAGGTATTTCTTCTCTTCCACGCAGCCATGCACATCAGAGGAAGTGGACAGCCACAAACTCCAGGAAAGGAAATCCTGATTATTTGAAGCCAGGCCCTTGCCAGTGATTGGTCTAGGACTGGGCAGGTGACCTAGTTGTGACCATGGAGGTATGACGTCGGCTTGGGACGCTTCTGGGAAAGGTGTCCTGGCTCCTAAGAGCCACAGAAGACAGGCTTCTCACTGCCACTGCTGCATCTGGATGCCCTGCCCAAAACTTCTGCAAATAGCCTGTTGCAGGGAAGTCAGCCGGGGCAAAGGGCAGAGGCAAAAGAACCTGGCTTCTCCACAACAGTGCCAAGCGGCTTATGTTGCCGCCCTACGGTCTGTCCTCCTCTGCACTCCTAGGTAAAATCATAACATTTGTTGTTCAATGCCCTTTAGAGTTTTTGTTTTGGGTTACGGCCCAAAAAGTGATACAAAATCCGATACTGAATTTGGTAAGAGAAAATGGGGATATCCTACCAGACCCTAAAATGGGGAACTGGCTGAGCAGAGGCAGCAGAACAGAGGGCAGGTAGTAAGGTCCCTACTACTCTAGGCCAGGAAGCCAGGGCCCATCTGTTACGTAGTTGTAAAGCAACAGATTAAAACACCCAGATTAGGAAAACACACTATGAGGAAAGCGATGACTTAAAAAGATCCAGAGCCATTGAATTGGACATTTAAGAAAGGAAAACAAAACCGAGGTGCTGATATTGTGTTGGCTCCTTCTTGGGCCTTCAGTAAGGCCCTTAAAACATGAGCTTCCGTTGAAGGTAGACCAGACGTCCCTTCTGCCTTGAGGTGTAAGTTAGACTGAGGTTCTGGGGCAGCAAGAAGCCCCCGGAAGGGTTTTAAGCAGGAGGCTTAACTCCTTCGTTAACTCCGCCTTCGTTTTAAGACGCCGTGTGCTTCCGCGTGGAGAGAAGGAGAGATGAGCCCGCAGAAGCACAGAACAACTGCACGATGTGGCCAAAGGCCAGGTGGGACGAGAGCGCCGCTTCAAGAGGAGGATAATGGAGAAAAATGGATGGACTCAAGATTCACGAGAGGTCAGGTCAAAAGGATTTGCACGTTGGTGCCTTTACTGATGTAAAGAAGGGCGCGGGGAGGTACTAGTTGGGGTGGGGTAAGAAATCAAGAGCTGCATTTTGGATGTTTGTGACATGGCTAAAACACTGAATGGAGTAAGCAAGCAGAGGCATTTAGGGTTGAAACTCCTCTCTCTCCATCTATTCTACCTCTTAGTCCAAACCACTAGGAAGAGGAAATATATAAAATCATGGGTGGTGAGGAACATGAGGGACAGCACTACTGCGCTCACTTGGAGAATCTGTAATTAAGTAGCCCAGGGAGGGAGTCCCCTCCAAACGCGCTGAAACCCCTCAAAGCCTAAGGGGAAGGCCTTTACTGAAAGAGATCTCAGAAAGGGGTACATGAGGTCTTTATCTGTCTGGGGCAGGGTCTGGAGGGACTCTTGGTCCACCTCATTTGGGGCCAGCTTTACCGCACCCACTCACTGGCAATGCAAAGCAGTCGGCTTCCAGTCCCCCGGTGTACCCCACATTCCTCAAACCCAGCGGTGCAGGGGGAATGAGAAGGACTGGTGGCAAAGACCAGGCTGGAGGAAAAGCATGAGACCGCAAGTGGTCTGATCTCGAGGGGCATCCAAGTCCCTTTGCAATCCAGGCAGTGGGCCCAGAGGCAGACCCGGCCCCACCATAAGAGCGGAGGATGGCCTGCCACACGTGCCTAGGGACTGGACTTTCGGGGCAGGGGGAATTTCCCCTCCCCCCGGCCCTTGCACTTGTGTGTTCGGGGCTTAGTAAACTGTGTGTGACTCTAACCTCAGCTCCCTCCCCCAGGCAGCGGGACAGAAAAGTACGTATCCGCTAAAAGCACGGTGTTGAGGTCAAGCCAGTGCTGTCCACTTCCACGCGTAACCTCCACATCAGCCTCAAACTTTCCACACTCTCTGGGTGACCCGAATGGTGACTTCACTAAAAACACACTAAAACGACTGAGTAAGAGCTACCGCAACTTCCTCCCTAGCCATTTACAGGGGCTTTCCTTTCTATCCCCGCTGCCAGCCCCCCCGCCACCCCTTGCCCGTGTCCTCCCTCCATCGGCTCCTCTGCCAGTTCCCACTCAACACGGAGGCATGCTCACGTTTCTTGCACTCTGAAGATGAACTCCCCTCCCCGATGCCATGTCACCCCCCATCCACTGTCTTCCCTATTCCCAGCCTCACTTGAGGCTCATCTATGTGGACGGTGTCCGGTTTTTACTTCCCACTCCTATTCTAAAGGTCTGTCATATAGGTGGAGTTCACACCAATCATGACATGAGAGACCTTACGGGAAAGGCACCCTGTCTCTCCATCTCCCCTCTCCGGGGAGTAAATTGCTTAAAAATCTTTGAGCAGATTGTTTCGGTGTGCATCCTGTATCTCTAGATAAGCTCCTATTGATATCTACTTCCATTTCTCAGTTCCAGGCATGGTAGCCAACTTCCTACTGTGAAAGCTAAAGGTCAAACACCGCCCCCCCCCCGGCCCCACGTTTCCCTACCTCAGACACACACACTGACATTAGGAAGCCTATGAAAACACACCTATGCGCAACTGAGCGAGGTAGTAAACTACCTGTCATTACTTTTTCTCTTCTACACAACCTGTTGCTTTAATTTTAGAGAATTTATGATGTCCTTGTTTCCCCGCCCCATTTGGTGTTTATCACCAACTCCAGCCTGAACACTGTTACTGTAAGTATCCTCCCAAGGTGTTCAAGAACATGTGGGATGCCTTCCGCTCCCTTCTGCATTGGAGAGCTTGTTTCTTAGAGGAGAGTCCTCCTCCTTCTTGGTTTGCTCTTGACTTGATGTAATTCAATCCTCCAATAGCTTCTTGGTAGATAAAATAGTTGTGTCAAAGTGCCTCTATCCTATTGCTCATTTGGTTTGGTTTACAAGTCTAAGTTGGAAATCATTTGCCCTCAGTTCTGAAGGTACAGCCCAATGGTGCTATTGCTGTGGAGTCTGAAGACATTTGATTTGCAGATGACTTTTTTTCTTTCTGGGAGCCTGGAGGACCTTTGTCTCTGGTGTTTCTAAAATTTCACCATAACAAATTCACTGTAGGTCTGTTTTCATCCATTTTGCCGAGCATTTGCTGAGCATGTGAATCTGGAAACTCATATATTTGGCTGTAGGTAATTTTGATGTTTTTTTTTTTAAATTTCCCAATTCTGTTTCTCTTCCTGAAACTTTTACTATCAGATGCTCAACTGCTTAAATTATTTCTGACTACATATTTCCTTTTTCAATCTCTGTTTTGGCTCTACTTTCTGGATATTTTCTCAAACTATCTTTCCAACAATTCTATTGGGTTTTTTCGTACTTTTAATTATGTCCAAACATTCATATATGTGTGTGGATAGATATATTTATCTTGATCCTGTTATTTCATGGGTGCACTGTCTTCTCTTATTCTCTGAATATGCTTAAGAAATTTAGATGGTTTCTTTTCCCTGCATGAACTGTTTCCTCCAAGTTGATTCTGTTTGTTTTAATAGCCAACCTTCATCTTGGAATTTCTCTTCAGATGTTTGGCAATCCTTGGTTTATTACTATGTAAGAGTGAGGCACTAACGTGTTTGAAAATCTGAGGACTTGGGTGGAGTTTGGAGATTGTAAGCTCTTGGCACTGGGTAATCTGGTTGGCCAATTTCCTTGGGAAGCCCTGATGTCACTGTCAGTGTTTCTGCTAAAGCGGGTTATATTCCCCAGCGAAGGAACTGGCTACCTACCATGGAGAGTATGTGTGCCAGCATGTGTGTGTTTTTGTGTGTGTATAAACTTCCTATGTTGAAATTCTAACTCCCAAGGGGATGGTATTAGGAGCTGGGGCCTTCGGGAGGTCATTAGGTCATGATGGTGGAGCCCTCATGAATGGGATTAGTGTCATAAAAGAGACCCCAGAGAGCTCCCTTGCCCTTCCCACCATATGAGGGCACAGTAAGAAGATGGCCGTCGATGAACCAAGAAGCAGGATCTCATCAGACATCGAATCTGCTGACACCCTGATCTTGGACCTCCAGCCTCCAGAACTCTGAGGAATACATGTCTGTTATTCACGAGCCACCTAGGCTGTGGCCTCCTGTGATAGCGGCCCAAGGACAATAAGACAATGGCCTTGTTTTCACTATGGCGCTGCCCTCAGCTACGCCAAGTCTCTTATGTGACATGGTCCCCTCGAAACCTCTGGTCTTCTGCTATGGTTGAGCATGAAAAGCTGCCCAGAAATCTGATGACTTAAATGATTTTTATTTCTTTTTCTTTTCCCTTTTTTTTTTTTTAAAGTAGGCTCCATGCCCATCGTGGAGCCCAACACAGGGCTCAAACTCACGACCCTGAGATCAAGACCTAAGCTGAGTTCAAGAGTCAGACGCTTAACCAACTGAGCCACTCAGGTGCCCTTTAACTGGCTTGTAAATAAACTTTTTTAAAAAGATTTTTTTATTATTTGAGAGAGAGGGAGCTCACAAGCAGGAGGGAGGGGCAGCGGGAGAGGGAGAAGCAGACTCCCCGCTGAGTAGGGAACCCAATGCGGGGCTTGATCCCAGAATCCTGAGATCATGACCTGAGCCGAAGGCAGATGCTTAACCACCTGAGCCACCAAGGCGCCCCTAAATAAACTTTTAAATAAACTTTTCTACCAATCTTCCTGATTTTTGCTCCACCTTTACACCCTCCTTCTAGAGGAACCTAGTGCCATCAATCCCCACATCTTTTGAGAGTTCTTGGGCTTAGGACTCAGTTTACTCAATGAGCTAAGTCAGTCACCACTCACTTATCTGCTTTCCAACTTCCAAAATTTTATGACTATTACCTCCTTTTTGTTTTCTTTGCCCTTGTAGATTTATGCCTTTAAAAAAAAAAAATCCTTTTATTGCCACTTAGTATGGTTTCAGAAGACATGTTTAGTCCACCCAATCACCCGGAGTCCCCACCGACATCCGACTGCCCACTGGCTTCTAGCCTCACTGAAACTGTCCATGCTAATGCCACCACGGACTTCGGAGTGTCAGTTAGACGAACACCTTTCCACCTTCACTTGACTTAGGTGCGGACGACCACTTTTGTTTAGGCTCCTTCATCTCTTCCTCAGTAGCAACTCTATCTCCTGGAATCAGTTATCACTCCCTTCACCAAATCCTGTTCCTTTCTTTACCCCAGGCCTGGTGTGCCTGGGGCTTCTTACACCTCTGCTCTTTTCATTCTCATTATTCTGCTGGAATAAGCACAAGACCCTTAAACTGAACTACCTTAACTGCCACTTAGATACGCACAACCTTAAAATCTCTATTTCCAGCCCAGAGCAATCTGCTGAAGTGTAGATCCGTTTCCGCAACAACCTCCTGGACAGACCTACTTGGAATTCTCACAAGCACCCCAAATTCAACATGCCAAAAACCGAAGTCATCGTTGTGTTCACAAACCTATTAAATTTCCCACGTTCTGCCTCAGTGGAGGGTGCCCTCATCTACCCTGCAAAAAGCCAGACAACCAGAAGTCCCGCGGAGACCCTGCCACCGCCCATCCGCATCGCAGCTCTCTCAAGGTCCTATTGGTTCTACCTTCTTAATATCAAGAACAAGAATTCTCAAAATGTAGTGTGCAAAAGCCTCACTTGTGGGGGCTTGTTAAGTACCAACAGCTGGGCCTCAGTGTCACAGTTTGCGATCCAGACTGAGAATCTGTATTACTAACAAGTTCCCAGGTGACGTTGGCGCTGCTCCTCTGGGGACCACACTTTGAGAACCACTCATCTAGTCACCAGCACTCCTCACCGTCCATTTCAGTTCCCCTAGCCCAGCAACACATCCCCTGTGCTGGGATTGTAACAGTTAATTTGCCTGACCTTTGTAAAACGTCCTCCAATCTACAACTGGCATGCTCTTCCTAAAAAAGGTAATCTGAGGTCTTAAAATTTACAATGATTCCTCAGAATTTTTCCAAATCACACTCAGACTCCCTGGCCTGCTGTTCACAT